AGTCCCCACCCCTGGGGGGATTTAAAAGCTGGGCATACAGGGTGCTTAGGGCCAGGGTTTAGTGGTGGGATGGCAGGGTTAGGGTAATGGTTGGGCTGGGTGAGCTTAAAGATCTTTTCTGACCTAAACGATTCTATGATTCTATGACTGGATGATCTTTGAAAGTCCCTTCCAACCTAAACCACTCTGTGATTCCATGGTCACAAACCACCAGGAACCTGACAGAGCCATCGAGAGCATCAGAGGAGCATCAGCACAAACATCACCTGGGCTTGTCCTCTTACTCTTCTCTGTAGCCCTGCTGGTGGCCAGAGCTGGTGCTGGGGCTGGCCCTAGCAGCATGGAAGCTCCTCCTTGGAGCAACCCCCTCTCCCTTTGGGAGGACACGCTGCTCGGCTGCCCCTTCCCAGTCTTCCATCACCAGGGCACCACCGGGCAGCACTTTCCAAGCACGGGTGAGGCACAGTGCTGTCTAAAAAAGACAAGGAGAGATGAAGATCTGGCTCCATCACCAGGGCCCCACCGGGCAGCACTTTCCAAGCACGGGTGAGGCACAGTGCTGTCTAAAAAAGACAAGGAGAGATGAAGAGTGGAAAAAAAAAAAAGCTGTAGCAGAAAAAACAAGTGATGGAAATGAAGATAGGCACAGAAGTTATTTGTTATTCATTTATTTGCACTTGGGTTAAGTAAATCTCATTTACCTGCCCTGTCACTGTCCCTAAATTGCAGGGGTTTTTTCTCCAGAAGAGTCTTCCTAATCATGGAATGGTTTAGGTTGGAAAAGCCCTTTAAGATCACCCAGCCCAACTGTTACCCTAACCCTGCTATCCCACCACTAAACCCTGGCCCTAAGCACCTCATCTGCCAGGATTTTAAATACCCCCGGGGATGGGGACTCGACCCCTTCCCTGGGCAGCCCCTTCCAGTGCTTGACAGCTCTTTCATTGAAAAAGTTTTTCCTAATAATGGCATTTGTCTCCGCGTAGCTGCGCATACTTTGATTTCCCACTGTCCCAGATTTAAAAAGAAAACAAAAAAGCTCTTGGCATTTTGTTGTTACGGAGGGGAAAAAAATAAATAAGTTTTCAATACATCAGCAACCCTGGCCACCGTTTCGCCCCCTGGCCACCGTTTCGCCAGCCTGAGATGCAGGAATTCATATTTCATTGCTGTTCAGGCATCAGGTACCAGATTTAAGAGGCTCCATTAGCAGCAGAGCTGATGGACACCCTGCGTTTCTGCGTTACGATGAACACCGAGGTGGTAGCACCATGACGGTCCGCGGGCGTGAGCGAGGTGGGGACTGTACAGAAAGGTCATAGCTTTTGTTAGGGGAACTGATATTTTGAAGAAATAGTTGCTTTTCACAGGCAAACTCTTCTTTGGGCTGGTATTTTGAAAGGTCATTTTGTTCTGGACAGAGCAAACGTAACGCTTCCCAAATGCCATAAAGCCGAGACAAACTTTGGAAAACACTCTGTTTCAGAAAATGACCATCTGAGACCTCCAGCGTGTCAGGTCAAGACATTTCATTATGGGAATCTCTCTGATTTAGCCATGAAAATAAGGGTTTCAAACCATATTTAATAGAATTTATGTGGACTGATTTTAAACTGAAATTTGAGTAATGGGACAGTTTAAGCACTGGAAGGTTATTTTCCCTCCAGAGGTCAGTGTTAGAAGGCAGCCTGGGGTGCTGCTGGGGCCATGGAAATTTGCAGGGCAGAGGAGCCAAATATTCCTGCTAGACTTCAGCGTCGTTGATCGTTGAAAGTCATCATTGTTTTTAAAGCAGAATTAAATGTATGCAAATGTGGTCTAACTGAAACTTTCGGTGCGGCCGCTTGAGGAGGGCTTTGAGTTTCCAGCGGAGGCGAGGACGAATGGGTGTTCTTCTTGGGAGTTTCTGCCTTTTTGCTGAAATTTTGATTCTGTTTTAAACTATTCTTCTCACTTGCTCGGTTTAATCTGTTTAACCCCGTGGGGCCTCAGGCTGCCTGGGGCAAGGCTGGATTACGCCCTTGTTTTTACATATGCAGAGGACCAAACTCTGGACAGAAAGGGGACCAGCGCTGTGAAACCATCATGAAACATGTCTCCTTACAGGAGAGAGAAGGAGGAAGAAACAATAATTCCCTCTTACAAAGCTTTGGGTTTTTTTGTTTTCTTGGGGTAGCAAACTCTCCTGATACTTGCTGTTTCCCTGCAAGCCCCAGTTCCCAGAGATCTAAGATTAAGCAAAAATCTCAGTTTTTATATGCTGAGAAAGGACCCCCCAGCTGTCAGGACTGCAGAGAAGAGCTGGAGAGCGTTGAGCTCTAAAGGCTTAATAACAGGAAAGGCAAGAAAACGAATGAGAAGTTTAGGATTTCTGAATGTCTCACCATTTTTTTGAGCTAGTCCTGTCATTTGGGGATTTTGCCTCTTGTCTTGCTCTTCCAAGAGCCTGGATCCCACTCTCCCCCAGCTCCTGTCGGGAAGTGATTTCATTGAGTTCACCCTATAAAATTAGGCTGTCTCTCTTACAGCAGCCGTGCACAAATATCTGCCTGGGCATGCAGACCACTCTGGCCTGCGACACCTCCCAGAATCCCAGCGTGGCCCAATCCAGGGGCTTTATTTGCTTGATTTGGGGTAAATTCCTCCCCAGCAGAAAATGATTTTTTTGTGCACAGGTTTTTTGCAGGGTGCAGCCAAGCCCAGCAGCACCCTGTTCTGCTTTATTAATTATTATCCATTGCTTGGTCCTTTCAGGCATACAAGAGGAAAACAGAAGCAGCGAAGAAGGAGTACCTGAAAGCCCTGGCAGCGTACCGGGCCAGCCTCGTCTCCAAGGTACGGCCTGCGCTCGCACGGGCGCTGCACGTGGCGGTGCTGAATTAGTTGCAACTCACAGGACTCTCCAGGGAGGAGCAAGTTTATAAGAAATACAGTGTAATCGTGCTATTGGAACTGGTATCAGTGTTAGCCACCTTCCTGAGGAGCTAAAAGAAAAGCTCTGCAGCACGCTTAGGGTGGGCGCCAGGCTGCTTTCTGCCGTTAGCACCCCAAAACAAGACCATGCTTTGGGTTGTCTTCATCAGCAGGCATCAGAGGAGGGGAGGAGTGTCCCTCCTTGGGGACAAAGGTGTCTCTGCTGCCTGTCCCCACTGCCAGCGGCTGTTCCTTGCCCGGTTCTCAGGGTGTGAGTGCAGCAGACGAGGGAGCGCTGACAAGGCCGGGAGGATGAGGCTCACCATGGGTCACACCAGGGACTGGCCCAGGGGAAGGTGACACCCCAGCCCTGGGCTCACTGGCCAGTGCTGGGCAGCAGCCGGGTGCCAGCATCCTGCCTGCACCCTGCTCCGGGGGTGTCCCAGCTGTTCCGGACCCTGGGTCCTGTGTCTCCCATGCACGCTCAGCCAAGAGCAGGGGTTTTAGGGAGCAAGACCCCTAACTGCGGATTGATGAGCACGTATGGGCTTAATGCACTGCTGTCAGGCAAAACTCAGAGAGCCCATTTTGGTGCCTAATAAAGAACTTTCAGGGGATTTCAGGTTCATACGCAAACTCCTGGTGCTGTAAGGCTGCACCTGGGGCAGCAATGAGGGGCCAAGTGCCTGCCCATCCCAATTCTCCAAACATGGATGCTCACCCCAGGGGACCTCACACCTTGCCCTCTTCCATGCCTGCAGAGAGGGGACATGGGCATTTTCTGCCTGCGAGTTTGGGGTAGCTCCTGCAAAGCTTGTAGGCTTGCTGGCTCAGGGGGATGCACTGCCCTTGGGTTGTGAGTATGTGCTTTGGTTGTTTTCCCTTCAAAGCTCCTCCTCGGTATGGTACCACACCCGCAGTACTTCACCATTGCCTTCAGCTGCCATGGGAAATAACGTGATGCCCCAAATCAACCATCATCTGCAGGATCCATGGGATTGTGGTGGTGGGCTGGAAAGGCTCAAAGCCCCTGCCCAGGCATGAGCAATGGGAGCTGAATTAACTCATGAACAGTACAGCAGCAAGGACAGAAAAAGGGACCAGAAAGGACTATTTGGGGGTTTAAAAGCTCTTCTTGGTCCCTCTGGAAACCTCTGAGGGCCGGGCCGGGAATGTGCCCAGCAGCAGTGTGGGGCAGGTAGCACGGGAGGCCATTGAGCCACTACACGCCATGGTTTCATTTTTTTTCCAATTGCTCCAATGATCAATTCTTTGCAGAAGAGCAACTTTGTTTTGAGTAAAGCAGCACGGTGTGATCCTGGCTGCCAGATGAGAAAGGACCTGGAGTCTCATTACAGAGCCCATTGCAGGACAAAATCCTCATTGAACCAAAAAATGTCCTGTTGTTCTTCTCGTTTCTCCTGCAGAAATGAGGCCACCATTGTCCCGCGCATTGTAGACCCCACCAGGGCTTCAGGAATGTGTGAGATTAGGAAAGCAGAGTTTTTACAGCCCCGTTTGTTCTCTATTGGAAGCAAAAGTGGTTTTGTCACCCACTTATGTGGACCTAAGGAGTGAGCTGCAGGCAGGGGCTTTGCCTCCATGCCAGTTAATGTCCCCCCGGTGCTCCAGGCTCTGCCGAAGGTGCAGCTGAGTCACTGGGCCTTAATTTCCCAGATGTGGCTACTGCACCCAGCCTGTGGGCACCCAGCAAGCTGGTTGGTGGGAGAGAAGCAGGAGCCGCGGGGAGTCCGGGTAGCTCAGTTGGATGGATGGACAGACATCTCGGGACACATAACAATGTTTCCTCCCTTCCTTCCACATCACCCTCCGTTCTGTTTCCCCACAGAGCTCTGCCGACCAGGGGGAGACGAAAAGCGCCCAGAGCAATCCACCTTCCAAAATGATCCCCCCCAAGCAGCCCATGTACCCAATGCCACCGCAGGCTTCCTCGCCCTACCCCGGCCTGGGTTCGTTCCTGTCCCCATCGGACCTGCAGAACTACCGCGGCCACCCCCACCCCGGCCTCTCCAGGACCCTCACCTCCAAACCCATGCTGCCCAGCATCAGTGCCTCCCCGCCACCCTCCTTTCAGATCAGCCCCCCCCTCCACCAGCAGCTCTCCTTGCACCACCCACAGAGCTCCCTCCTCAGCCAGCCCCCCAGCAGGCAGCAGGTCCCCCAGCAGCCCCTCCTCTCCCCCCCCATGGCACTACAGGTACAGCCCCCCATGAACGCCTCGCCTCCTGGGCAGCAGGTAAGTGCTCAGAGGGAGAACGGCTCTGCGGCACAAATGGTGCCGTTTCCCCACTTGCCATTGGGGCTCCTGGTTTCTGGGTAGTTTGGGGATGCTGGGTGTCAGTGTTGTCCCCGGGGGAGTCTTCTCCTGGCTCCACCCGCCTGCAGATCTCGTAGTTTGGGGGTGACATTTTCCAGAGCACTAAGCTGGGAGCACAAGCACCCCCCCAAATGGGGCAGATTTGTGTAATGTAGCCACGAAGGTTCTTTCAGCAGGGGAAGATGTGGAATTGGGGATGCCCCTGGTGCAAGCTCCTGGTCCCCCAGCCTTGTCTGGTCATCTGAAATGATGGGTTGGACAGTCAGCGAGAAACCCCTCTCGTGGTACTGCTGAGAGAAGTGGGGACTGGAAGGGCATGGGATAATAGGAGGGATCCAGGGCGGGGGTTGCCAGGAGGAGGAGAAAAAGGACAGAGGGAATGTCACGAACAAAATATGAAACCAGTATTTTTCAAAAAACTTCCTGGCAATAGGAGAAAATCACTTTTGTAGCAGAGAGCTGAGAGCATGCAATGTGTGCTTGCGTGTACGCTTATGCCAACAGCAGAGCAGCGAAGCAAATCCTATAGACAGGTGCTATGAGCGTGTGAAACCTGCAGAAGCCAACCGTCCTTAGCCATGCCCAGGCTCAGCCCAGCATCCCACGCTTGGGGAGTCAGCCTGCAGGGTCCAAGTCGCTCCTCTTTAAACCTGCAACTGAGAAAACCTATCTGGAGGAAAAACTGGCTATAGCAAACCCCATTTCCTCTACCTTATAGAGAACTTACCAGTATACAAAGGAGATGAGTGGTTTCCAGAGTTTCTCCATCTGGAATATGAGCTGGACGAACTATTCGCAGTGGCGGACATATGCTCTGAATTCGCAGCTGCTGCCATTTACTCGATGATACTTTTAACTGTCGCGTTCACCCAGCTGGCTGAATAACTGCGTTTCGCGTGTTTGCTAGCTGTATATCACAAAATTCATACAGTACTTCAGCAATGAACACAGCTTTTTTTATTTTCCCTGGCATGTGACCTATTCGTTTTGGGGCTAACTTTGAGAAATCAGAAATTGTTAATTTGGGAACAGATATTGCAGTGGAGGAAAACCAAAGGAGAGCAGGGATGTGGAAGCACAGTTACCCCAACTGCAAAAAAAGCCAGCACAAGTGGGAAGGTCAGATCCTCAGTCAGGTTTTAATTTCCAACCTGCTGAATGTATCCCAAGCAACTTCTCCAGCATGGTGGTTTGACTTTGGCTCTGCATAAGGAAAAGTGTCTTCTGGAATTCGGCGATAGTCCAGAAATGAGCAGAAAAGGGGATCCTTGTAATCACTTTAATTGGGGTAGTTGCTGTTGCTGACGGCAGCATTTTGTGAAGCTTCATTCCACATACATTTGCTAATAACCCAAGACCATGCACATGGGATCTGTCTTTCTCCTCTGCTAATGGAAATGCTACTTTCTTTTTTGAGACAGGTTATCCAGTGAATGCAGCTCACTTTGCTAGTGTGACTGGGAGTTTGGCTGGAAGGAGGAAGAAAAGCAAAAAAAAAAAAAAAAAAACAAACCAAAAACAAAAAAAGCCCACTGCCCTAACTGGGATGTGTGGGAGAAAATGATGTTCTTGGTCAGGCAACTACCATGACTCTTGTTTATATACATTGCCTGATGTTACCCAGTTAAGCCAACCCCCAAAAGTTGGGAAAGCTAATCAGTTTTCAGATAAAGCTGTCCAGCCACATCCTTGCTAAATTGGCAGCAGTGACAGCTGATGGAGAGAGCAGTGCTTGTGTGGATGTTCCTCACCTCGTTCCTGTACATTACAACGGGGTAACACGTTACTGCAAAGGGAGCTGCACTTGAAGTGGAAAAAACAGTTTTGGTTGCCAGCATGCTGGTGCAAAGGCTTTCGTGGCCTCCACAGGGAGGGAGGTCCTGCAAAGCAAGAGGAGAGCAGAGGGATGTGAACCAGATGGCACCGCATTGACCCCTGCTTGCAACAGCTCGCGCTCTGCAAGGTCCCACCGCCGTGGTTGGGGGGCCTGGGCTCGGACCCACTCCTGCCTTTGGGGCTCCCCCTGCACTTTGCACTGCCACCTTCCTGGGGCAATGCATGGAAATGTATTTAGGAAATATTGTTAGATCCACTGTTTCTCCTGCTGTGTAACTCCTGTAACCCTTCCTTTCCTTTCCACCCGGCAGGACTTCTCACATATTTCGTCTGAGTTTCAAAACAGCGTCGGACCCCGTTCGCCTGGTGCATCAAACCCCCCAGGAAGCACTGAGTGGGACAACGACTACCCCAGCAGAGAGTGTGGGATTAACCACTGCAGGCCAGTAGCCAAAATAGCACATTGCTATTCTCTGAACTGTGACAGCGTACGGCAGCTGAGAATGTGCCCTAAAACCTACAGCAAGTTGGTAGGCTAATTACGGTCAACGAATTTCAAGGTTTCCTCTTTGCTGTAGGCTTGCTATGGCTATGGAAGCAGGCAACTTAGAAATCACGGATAAATTCTTCATTGGGCATGAAGAAGTTTCCTTTTTTTTTGTGTTTCCATCCCATTAGCAATGGTTCGGTTTGACCTGTTTCCTTCTAGAGCAGGACAGGGAAGCCCAGTCTCCCAAGCAGACTCTCTGGAGGTTTGAGGGTGGCCGTGTCCCTAAGCAATGTCCTTCTCTTTCTAAAGTGATTGCCCCTGTCACTGAGGCCACAACCTGCTCTAGTTGTCTCTAGGAATGGGTCCCTTATCGGTCCTGAGGTTTAACCACAACAGGGTACAAAGCCTCATCCCCCCCCGGAGCCTCACGCTGCGCCAGTCCCCTGCACCTCGCAGGAAAAGGCCACCATCCTCTGCACAGAGATCCTCCCTTATGCCCTAAAAGCTTTGGCATGAACACGCCAGCAGGAAGGTCTGCTCAAATTCCCCAGTAAATAAAAACATGGGGATAGCCTCAAAGCTGGGTAACAGCAAGGGTGTGAAAGCCGTTTCCCACCTTTGCCTAATCCACCGCTCTTGGCTCGGCAGTAATAGTTTGGAGATGGCTCCTGTGCCCTGTAAAGCAGGTACACGGTTTGCTGGGCCAGCAGGTAGGGGAGGAGGCTTGGTAGCTTCTGAGTGTTGTTTGATTCGCTCAGAGTACTGGAATGTAGTGCTTTCACCGGAGATAATAGCAAGCTCCCAGCCTTTTCAGAGCACAGCTCCTGTCTGTGCCAGCAGTGCATTTACAATTGCTGGGCTGGGCACAGACTGTACAGACATTTATTTCTTTCAGGGAAATAAATAACTTGCTGAGCCATTAGAATATCGCTGCTGTCTGCCTGCCTAAGGGTGCTCAGCTCCATGGATTGTTCCAGGCTCTTTGCGTGGTCCTTCCCCAAGTCTCTCCAGGCAACCTGAAAGAAGGAACCTGTTTGGGACTTGGTGATAAAAGTCACTTTAGATGCTGTGGGCAAAATGCTGAAGATGCTTGGATGGTTATGGCACATGGATCCCCCCTAGAAATAAGCATCACTACTTAGGGAATCAGCTGGGAAAACACTTGATTCCCTCTGCAAATCTCACTGGGCCCCATGAAAAAAGCTCAGGGCACTCTAGAAATGGGTGAAACGCTCCCGTAGTAGTCAGGACTGAGTTTTGTGTTGCTAAAACAAGCTCTGTGACATCTGGCTGGAGTGCCGTGTTGTGAGCAGAGGGCCCATGCAATTCATGATCAAAGCTCATGCATTTCATGCCTTTGTCACAGCAGAAATATTGAATTTCATGGGTTTATCGCAACTTCCTGGAAAAAAAAAATCATTCCAAAGCCAGACAGATTATGCAGAGACTTCAGATAATTATTAGAGTAGATTGTAGTGATGAACTCAGGCAGATATAGATCAGCACTGCAGAGAGTGCTCAGTGCACCGAAAAATGTTGTTGTCTATGTCAAGGAAGGAGCCCATCTCCTGTGACGAGAGACGCATGAGCTGCCAGCAGCCCAGCTCCCAAAGCTGGCTGCTTCACATTTTATTGCAAAGCCTGGTGCGTCAGCAGTGCCATCGCCTCCTGCTCCTGCTCCCGCCTGGTATTTGCTGCCTAAGTGCATGCTCTGCATTGTTTGTAGCACCCATACACGTTGGTAGGACTGCAGCCCCGGTGCCTCACAAGGTTACGCTCGCGTAGGGAAAAGAGATGATCTGGTTCTCATCATCTTCCTACCTGTACTGCTTTCTCCCATGAAGGTTGCGTTAATTTGCGAGTGACATTCAAAGTTGCCCTTGGGCTCTTCGGTGGCACCTTGCCTTGTACTGCATCCAGTTCTGTGCTCCCCAGTTCAAGAAGGATGAGGAACTCCTGGAGAGAGTCCAGGGGAGGGCTACAAAGATGATGAGGGGGCTGGAGCATCTCCCCTACGAGGAAAGGCTGAGGGAGCTGGGCTTGTTTAGCCTGGAGGAGGCTGAGAGGGGATCTCATCAACATGTACAAATGTCACAAGGCTGGAGCCAGACTCTTCTCAGTGGTGCCCAGCGCCAGGACAAGGGACAATGGGCACAAACTGAAGCAGAAGAGGTTCCACTTGAATGTGAGGAAGAGCTTCTGTACTTTGAGGGTGATGGAGCCCTGGCACAGGCTGCCCAGGGGGGCTGTGGAGTCTCCTTCTCTGGAGATATTCAAAGCCCGCCTGGATGATGCCCTGTGCCCCCTGCTCTGGGTGAGCCTGCTTGAGCAGGGGGGTTGGACTGGGTGATCTCCAGAGGTCTCTTCCAACCCCTGCCATGCTGGGATTCTGGGATTCTGTGAGGATGAAGGCATGAGGATGCAGGGTGAGCCCTTGTGCCTGAGCAGCCCAGCAGTCTGTGGGACTTAAGCAAAGCAGTGATAACAGGAAGGCAGATCTTGTTGGGTTTGATTGATCAGTGCAGTTTTAGGTATAATGGGGAAGTCTCTGGATCATGTAATTGCCCATTTCAACCTCAAAACTGCATTCAGCTTAATTGCAATTAAAGCAGCTCCGCGGAGTAAAATCAGCAACTGGCTGGAAAGAAAAAGGATTCTTTTCTGTTGTGATGTGGCTGAGCTATGGAGCCCCAGGTTCCTGAAGGAGAGGATCACATCAACCTCCCCAGCACACAGGCAGGCCTGTCTTGCTCCCCGGGTGAGGATTTTTATTTCATGTCTGATCTTGACATTGCTTTAGCTTCCAACATGCGTTGGCACTGGGTTAGCTGGAGTAAAACCTCCCAATCCTACATTTCCTTTTGTGTTTGTCATCCAGACAACTTCTGAAAACTAACGAGGTTGTCTTTCTCTCTGGGTTCTCCATCTAATAAGGGAGCTGCTGTAGGTTGGGGTTTTTTCCCAGCCTATCAGTGCTAGTTAAAATGCCATTAAATGACACTTCTTCCCTTACGCTCCTCAAATTCTAGGGTCCTGCGAGCAGACACTCCTTAATTCATAAATCAGCCATGTTAGAGAGTTTTAAATGTTTCGTAGCTCATGCTCTCCCCATTCTTAATGATTTTGTGCTTACTGACTTCCATCCAATTTTCCTAACTCTTTCTGGGCTTAAGCCCAAGCTGTCCTCGCTTGCTAGCAAAGACAGGGGTAGCATTTCTCAGCTCCTGCTTAGTGTATGACTATCACTTCCCACGAGCAACGGCAGCGTACAATTTTATCGCTTCTTGCCATCATACCACGAACAACTCACATAGTCCCCCATCTCCCTCACCTGACAGCCTTGTTCTTGCGCTTGCTCTTTCCCATGGAATTCCTGTGGTTTGAGCGACTTTCTCCAAGGGAACCAGCTCCCCTGTATCAAGGGTGCAGCCTGGGTTACAATCACTTGCCAATCTTTCTTAATTCCTCGAGGCACCTCACTTGTTTTTTCTGCTTTGTCATCTGATAACAGCTCTTTCCATACCAAAGCTGCCCCCAGGGTTTCGTTTGCATTTGTCTCCTAGCACTTTGGTATTTTGGTGATAACACTCAACTAGGTTCATCATTCCATGTCTGTCCTCTCCTTTGCAAGGCACAGATTAGGTTCTTTTGAGGTACCTTGGGGTGCCATCATTTACCAACTTTTCTCCCCTCTTCCCCCTCTCCTTTGGGCTAAAAGGCGAGACACTAGCAGTTATGCCTTGTCCAGATGTGCAGACCCCTTCATCCAGATGCTTATAACCTCTCTAATTCCTGCTAACGATGAAGCGACCCTCCCCAAATGGGGGAATTCTCCAAATCAGAAACTAAATGAGAAAACACTGTAAAAGGGCAAGGATAAACCATCACAAATGCACTCAGTTTGGATTCAATTATTTATGGTAATACTTTGTAATGAACTGGGAAATGTTCCCTAGCATATTTTGTAAAATTAATGAAGTTTTAGTACTGGAATACTGTACTGCTGCTCAGTGGCATTAAATCTTTGCTGAGTGCAGTAGGGAAGATGCCGCATTTTAAATGCAGATTATAAAACGTGGAGATTAACAAAGTGCAGACTCCTTGGCGCGCTCTCAGAAGACAGCTCTATCAACAACAGCATTACCTTGCTGTCTGCTGTTTCCCTATTATTCCACTCGTAAGCACACCCACATTGGAATCTCCCAAAGCTTTGTAATGTTCTTCACCACCTTTTAAGGCCAAGATATCTTTATGGAGCCAACAATATTTCCGTCAAGTCTGTGTAGATGATAAAACCCATTAAAATACCTGGATTTCAGAGCAAAACCCACATAGGATGTCAGACAGGGGAGAGGGGCTTCAGCCACTCTCTCTGCTATGTCCTGAAAAAAAGAGCCTCCAGCCTCCTTGTAGGACACTGCTGATGGCAAGCTAGATGTGCCAGCAGCACAGGGAGGGTTGAAGCACCAGGTACTATGGGCAGGGAAGGGAGCGGTGATACCGATCTGCACACCTTGCTATAGAGCCGGCCGCAGGCAGGGTGGTGTAAGCTGGCTTCCCTCTCTGGGATGCACCTGGATCTCTTGAAATCAAAGTCATTGCTTCAATAACGTGATCAATTCAAGATCTGGTGAGCCAGGAACATACAGCACACACAGCCTGGCCACTAGCCCACCAGCCCTGCTCCGTAGCCTCCCGCGAGTAGGGCAGCACCTGGGGCTCCTTGTACCTCCTGCTGTCTTCCATCAGATACATGGGAAAGCCCAGCTAATCCAGCTGTCCCAAAGATTTTTTTCCCCCTCATTTCCTGATTATTAATATTTCAAATTGTACTTACTTTGGGAGAGGAGGAGAGAGGCACGGAGCAGATGGCATCTACTGCTCCCATGCTCCTCAGCCATGAAACTTAGTTCAATCCTCATAGAATCATAGAACCACAGAATCGTTTAGGTTGGAAAAGCCCTTTAAGATCATCAAGTCCAACCGTTAACCTAACCCTGCCATCCCACCACTAAACCATGTCCCTCCTGGACACCCACAAACATCTTCAGGCACAAGCCGCTCAATCCCATTTTTGAGACCCCCTGCTCCTTACGCACTGTCAGAATGACACTTTTTATCCAAAAGCAGGTGTACATTTTCTAAATCTCCATGGCTTAGCCCAAGTACAGTGTGTGATGCAGAAGGGGGCTGGTGGCCAAGGGGCTGATTTCAGGCACAGCGCTCCAGAGCACCATGGTGGAGCTAGTACCAGCACCACGCTGGCGAGCTCTGCTTGGAAATCCAGAGCTGGGCCTCTCCTGCAGCCCCAGCAAGAGCAAAAATTAAGCCACAGGAAGGAATTTACATCTTATCCCTTATTGTTGAAATTGAGGAAGAACTAAAATTGCACCAGGTTCTTACTTTGGAAACACCTTCAGCTTGGTTCATCTCTGCACACCCGTGCCTCGGTGCAAGACCACGTTACATCTTGCATTATGGAGTGCCATAAAAACCACAGTACGGCGGAAAACGGGCGTGCAACCGGGCGTGCAAATGCTAAATTCAGCTCTCCTGGGCAACCTCCCGGCTCTT